TCACACTCTGACATTGGTTTTCAGTTAACTCAATTCCCACGTTGAGAAGGAAGGTGAACGAACGGAAAGGTGGAAGAGTCGGCAGAACAGTATTGTTTAACAGAAGGTTTCGCTTGACTGCAGAACACTAGTTACTGAGTACTTAGCAGACCTAGGAAAGGAAAGAGTGAACCGAAAGGCGAAGAGTCCGAGTACTTGAAGGTGTTTTAACAAAAGTTGACGCGTGACTGCGGAAAACTAGTTACTGAATACTTAGCAGACCTAGGAAAGGAAAGAGTGAACCGAAAGGCGAAAAGTCCGAGTACTTGAAGGTGTTTTAACAAAGGTTGACGCGTGACTGCAGAAAACTAGTTACTGATTACTTAGCAGACTGAATTCACGCCGTGCAAGGAAACCTGTTTTGGGGGATATCATGCGAAGAACCAACATGGAAACAAACCAAAAGCGGCAAGGGGAACCAGTGGAGTCATTGCGTTTTGATGCAGGTACACAGTGGAGCGTCCTCCACTGCTTCAGCACCAACCGATACCCTCTTCGTTGGACGGGTAGTATCGGTGGTGACCCGTCCCCCTGCCTTGTTAAGTGGTGGTAATGGAAACAGTGGCATTGAACCCTTTGGTACAGGGGGTGACACACACATATCACATAGACTCATTTGTAAAAGCGTGTAAACGCAGGGTACACATAAATATTGATGCATGCTTTATTGTCCCGTTACTTTGCATGCTTTCCTTTCGACCGGCCAGTTCTCCTATGTCGCCAAGCGAACCTGATCCCAGGCAAGTGGCACGTCCTCGGTCTGAAGAAAGCACAGCCACCGAAGAAAAAAAATCATTTGGGCGACGATGTCTGCTTTTGTGCGGAACATTTTCTGCTTGGCGATCGATGTTTGTACAGTAACATGTTTTCACGTTGTAGTATGTTGTAGTGTTTTTTTGGTCCCGTAAATTGCATGCGTGAAACCTGTAAATTGGCAATTCTTTCAACGTGTCTACTGAATTTTTGTATATTGACAAATCTCTACCCAATTCAGAGAGTCACAGAGAGTCCGCTTCCATGATTGTGGCATCCTACAACTGACAACCGTTGGTTAGGTAGGGAACGCAAGGCGGAACGTACGTATATGCAGTGGTTGAAAGGGTTTTAATGCGAGGCCAAAAAAAAGACCAGAAGCACTCAGAAGCACTCTGAAGAGATGCAGCCATCATTCCATGATGCCATGCGGATACCACACTCCTTGTTCGCTCACACACGCGAGCACCTCCCAGGAAGGGCCAGGTGAGAGTGCAGCACTCAGGGGTGATATCGGGTTGCAAGGCTCCGCACATCGCAGAGTTTGGAATGATGTGAAACTTTTTGAAACAGACAGCCACCAAAAGTGTTTCATCCAAAAAGACACCGGTCGTTGTTAGGTAGATGACAGCCGGGCCTCGTCGCTCGTCGTCTTTGTGGTCTCTGCTCTACTTGGTCGGCCTGGTCGACTCGGCCCGGTCCGTTTTGGAGCAGCGTCTGCGCCGCAGCGTCCTGTGTCCTCTGATGTCCTGTGTCCTATGTCCAGACCATCCACCATGTGAATGATTTAATGAAGTTAATCTACTGTAGTTACCGTGATAGGGCCACAACTGGGGTTTTCATGTATCCATACACGGAATGATCCGGATGTCGAGCAGAGTGAACCAGTTTTGATCGCTCAGGCCCTCAGGTGTGGAGCCTCAGGGAACGGTTTCCTGCAAGAGAAGGACCCCCCAAAACCCAAAGCTTAAAGCTTCCATGAAAACCCTAGAAACCAAATCATTCATGCGAGCGCACTTCGAGCTAGGAAGCTTCCCCCGCCCTTTTTGAAGTTTGAGCTATCCTGCGTCCAGTTACTAGTAAGCGACCTAATCTCTAGCTACCTCTAGCTACGTTCGTTAACCTACCTCTACTAGCGGCCTACCCCCCTAGGGAATTGAGTGGAAGGCATCGATAGTCTACATCCGAAGAGACTGCCCTGATGGTTTTTGTGTGCACTTGCTTGTCAAAAGGTTTAAACTTCAACTCCAATCCTCCGGTTTTACAGAGACCGTGTGGTTGAAAGCCACTGTTCGTCAACATGGACCGCAGCTGCCGAAAAGGTCTCTTTTCTTCTCGTGACTGGCGGATTTTTCCAGTGGCAGAGTAGAAGCTGGTCTCTTACAAGCAATCCAGCCTTCGTTCTTACAACCATCCAGAAATCAGCGGAAAATTCCAGAACGAAGCGACAAGCAAAACAATGCATGCGGGCTCCTACAGCATGTTATATCGCTTATCGTGTTATTTTTACTTATGTTTATTTGTTGTTGTGTATTTCTGATATTTTGCCGCAAGATCTCCAAGCAAACAGCTGTGATGCCAAGCAGACGCTTGTTCAAAAAAAGAATCTATGGTTGCCCGATTTTGGGGGATTGAATTATTTGCGATTATTTTTACAAGAACTGCACAGTGCACCAGCCGAACATCCGTTGAATTCAATGGATGCCATGGTTGTCTTCAACTCCCCAACTGACCGAGTCTGAGGCCGAGGAGATCGGCGAAGAGATGAGTCGCCTGGGTCCTTAGGCGCAGATCAGTGAGGTTGGGTATCTGTTGACATGGAGCTTTCGCCGAACAACGAGAACATGCACTGTCGGACGCTTCCACCCCCAGGGATCTACTGCCACCCTCTGAGCAGGTTAGGTGTTCGACACTAAGACATGAGACGGTGCGAGGGAGGGTCCCGGTATATACCTTCTGAGAGTGCGACTGGATTCCTATATAGGGTAATTGCTTGAGTCCAGATCTTTGGTGATCCGGTCAGTCTCTTCAGCCCTGATCGACGTGAATGAAGCGCTCCGCCTGAATGCAAAGTCTGCACAGCCGGTGCCGTCACAGGCCTGGTTGGGTCAAAGACAACATCCCAGAAATCACAACCTGGTACTTGTTGCGACAAATCACAGCTTTATCCTGCTTTAAGCATCCACACACCGGGCTCCACACACCGGCCTCGTCAAGGCAACCTACAAGGCGTTACCAGGATTCGCTTGTAAGCGCTGGACACCGTGATGTTCTTCTCAGCTGAAAAATGCTGGACACCGTGCTATTTGGAGTTGAAAAAGACCGGGGGGGTAGGCCAAGTAAAGGAGGTAGTAGGTAGAGGATGGTAGAGGTAGGTAGCAGTAGCTAGGGAGCTGCCTAGGGAGCTGCTAGTAGCTTAAGTAGCTACTACCTAGGACACAGGATAGCGCTCGCACGAATCACTTGGTTCCTAGATTCTTAGGCAAACTTGAGCCAGGGTTTGGTTGCTGGTTCCTGACAATCCAACATGAAAACCGATGGAGGATGTCGAAGTCTCAACCGCAGATGGGTGCACAGATGGGTGGTATTTCCTGCAGGTGCAACAGCTCTTGAAGCTATGTTCAGACACTTGCTTTCATCCTTGGCCCGGAAGACTTGCCTCGCTTTCGCCGGTGTCGTGCGGATCGCCCGGTCCCCCCGTGTCGTCCCACCGTGCGTCCAAGGCCTGAAAATGCCCTCGGGCTCGGCAGCTGCGGTGGTGGCTCGGCGGCGCAATCAGCGGTTGCTCCAGAGATCGGGGGTTACCACTATAATGGAAGGATTGGAGAATCCAGGATTTCCAGGATTCCACCAACTTGGTGGTTTCTTTTTTCCTCACTGAGCCAGGCAGATACGAAGTGAAACCTCCCAGTTGACTCACCTCAGTCGAATCAGCGGATCCATCAGACTCGTGTAGAGTGGTTTCCGAGTAGATGGCATTGGCACCCTAAGAGTTTTTTTTCTCACGGGGGGTCCAACAAACAAACACCAAACTTGAGGATTGTGCCATCTTCTCTGAACGATATCTACAGTTAGAATAAACTTGCAGCCACACACTGAAGTAGGTTGCCAGAATTATTTTGTCATTAACCATGTCATTTTTTTGTCATTTGGTGTTGTCATTTTTTTTGACGTACGATTTTCTGGATGTCATTTTTCTGTATTTTTTTTGTCATTAGGCATATCATGTTAAATCATTTGGGTTGTCATTTTTTTGTCATTTTTTGTCGTTTTTTTGTCTAATGTTTAACGATGTTTCTTTTGTCAGCTTGCCATTGTCATTGTTGCTGTTTTTGTTCTCTCTCAGTTATCTCAATTGTCTTTCCTTTTTTTTTGAGAAGATTTTCATATGAGGCCGTCTTTTCCTGATGGCTCCACTGCTGGGTTTCCATCAAGAGAAGGAACATTGGCATGGAGACGTGGTATATAGAGTACGTGGTATCTACAGTATCTACATGTATCTACTGAATCTGAATATCAACCAATATTTTGCAAGGCAACCGCTGATTCCAGGCAAACTCCCCCCTGCTGGCCGCATTCGCGGCGTGAAGTGATGAGTTTGTTGGAGTCACCAATTAACATTGCATTCTGAAGAATTGGAGTCATCTCAGGGGAGTGTGAATCCTATATGATTTTATAGGTTTTAACACTAATAGTATACCGGCCAATGCTATTCAATTGTACCTCATGTTACCTCATCTTTGCCTATTTATGGGATTTAAAGGGTGAGATGATGTATCTATGATGCACAACGTCACACTCTGCCGATCTTCGATCACGAGAGACGACCCAGGTGGCTGCTCGCCGGAGTGAGGATGTGAATTACGTGCAGCAGGGGGTGTGCGGGACCTCGGACCTCGGCCGAAGGAAGCGACCACGAGGTGTCCAACGGTGTTGAGCCCGGTCGGGGTGGTGAGAACGGTCGGGTGTGGACACCGAGCCCGGAAAGCCGGGAGAGCCCGGTCCAGGTAAAGAAGTGATCAAGCATATCTAAGCCAGGAAATGGAATGGTGTCCAAAACTCAACCCAGTGAAAAGCAAAACAGAGAAAAAAACAAACAAGGGGAAACACAATATTAAAGACAGTGACCAATGGGACACATCAACAGACACATAACATCACCAGATCCAAGGAAAAACCAAGGTATGACCAACACCTCAAACTGTTTTGGGACGACTCCTGTTTCTCATGGATCATTGAATAGCCGGCCCTGTGGAAGGGACGAAGGATGAACGGCGACGCGGCGAGTTTGGTGAACGAGAACGAGAGATAGCGCAGGAGATGTCAGAGGTTTGTGTGAAAAAACGTGATTAGACAAACTTGAATAGAATAGAGGAGCTTAGTTGGAATGGTGTTTTTTGGACATGGTCCCGACAATCCCTGAACTCGTCATGGACGTGGAGTTCACCACCTGTATTCGGAATTATGATCATCCAAGCGGTGCCATCCACACCGGCATAATGATTCGAGGGAGGTGGGATGGTAGAGGAATTTTCATTCATTCTCACACAGTGATCGAAAGAAAAGAAAAGGGCTTTGCAGCCAATGTCCGCGTTCAATGTGTGGCTAGCTAATGCTATCCCTCTCAATTGCCACAAAGCTATCACACACATGTAACCGACAGCATGCCTTGGCCCTCTGGAGCAAGCTCCCCGACGGATCCGAATCATCTGGACGTGAGGCAAGAGAGTGAGGATTTTGTACCTGAGCTACTAACTCCACAGCCTTCAAGGCCTTGGATCGGAGATTGGAGCTGGACTGTGACCACCTGGCAGATCGACACGGATTTGGGGAGATATAGAGGGGCTTTGTTCGTTCAAAGCAAATCCTTCCGTTCGTAGAAACAAGCGGTTTTTGCGACCGTTCGTCGCTCCGAACGGTGGAACCTCCATTCCGCTTGGCCGGTCGGTGACGCGAGCCGGGAGTCGGAGCGGTGGGTCCGACTGAGCCCCGAGGTGAGCAACGCTCTCTGTGTGTGTGTGAGAAACCCTTGGAGTCATAGGGAATCCTTGTGTGTTTTTGTTCTTTTTTGTTTCGGGGTAATAGAATGGATTTAATGGATCATGAATGAGCCTCCATCCATCCATCTCTATCGCAAGGTACCGGTGATTTTTTTCCAAAACAGGCAGGGTAGCCCACCCAAGCCCGGCCAGCGGCAGGGGGCCGCGTCGTGGTCGGAATAGTACTAGGATCATGATTGATGGATGAGGTGATTGTACCCTAAATATAGCCTAGTAGCTTATATAGCCTATATATGGGTAGCATATTTATATATATATATAGGTATAGCCTATAGGGCCTATTGCTATGGATATATTTGGCTAGTAGCTTCACTCTCACACACCATCGCGTCCCCGGTCGGTCAGGCGTGGCCGCAGCCTCTTCGGCTGGCGACGGAAGCGGGAGGAGCTCGGGTTGAGGGGTGAGGGGTGAGACAATTAAGGTCCGAGCTTTTAACATCAACACCACTAACATGGAAGTGGAACCCCCCGTGTTCGTAGAGCAAAAGGATCTTCCAGGGGCCTAGTTTCCACTTCCATGGAACCCGAGTCAGAGTGAGTGTGTTTCAGGAGAATCACCAGAAGGTCGAGTTCAACGCAATAGTTCGACTATCCAAAGACCAAGGTTTGTTGTTCCCCACTTGCCAGAGGGAGCTCCAGCACACAGAGCCATAAACATGCCATTCCAGATAGAATGTCAGAATGCACACCAAAAAGAAGATGTGAGAATAGACTGTATAGATGCCAAGTAGAGTGCGAGAAAGAATGTCGGAATAGATGCCAGATAGAATGACAAAAATTATGTCAGAATAGATACCGGATGATGCCGGATAGAAGGCCAGAGTAGATGCCAGAACGAATGATAGAATTTCATAGGATTTGCTATATAAAATGCCAAAGCGTATGACAGAAACTATGTCAGAACTAGTGGCAGTTTTGATGGCAGAACACCTGTCTGTCAGAACACATTTCAGAACCGAAGTCGGACTATAACATGTCACAACACATGTCAGAGCACATGCCTGTTTAATGCAGGAGACCATGTCGGAAGTACATGCCAGAAGATGCGTTAGAACATATGACCGGCAGGACCAGTGCCAGAACACATACCAACAAGAACGTCAGAACATTCCAGAACACTTACCGACCTACCGGCCTTTATGTTAGATGATGTATGATGATGTGTCCGAGAGCATACAGTACCAGACTTGATGCCAGAACAAGTGTGGAAATATGATGTCAGTGCACATGTTGGGTTGCGTTTGTCAGGATGGTCTGTCAATACCTGTGCCCTGCCTTCTTCCAAATAGCCTTCCAGGGTTGAAGTAAAGCAATTTTTTTAACACACCAATTTGCCGAAGACTTGGCTTCACCCGCTTCTATTCTCAGCCTCATTGGTATATACAACACTTGCAGAGCATGGCTGGACTTGGCTGGATCTTCAGAGGTGGGCACCACCTCAAAGGGCACATGGTTGCCTAGGAGTGTCACCAAACTTTGATCTCCACCCGCTTTGCATGGCTGAGCTGAACATTTGGCGAGAGAACCCTGTGACCAGCCTGCCCGTCCGTCTTCAAGCGAAGAAGACCGGACAGGGTGCATGTTTCCGCAGAAAAAAACTGAACAAGCCACCTACTTTTTTTCCCTGCGAACCCTGTTTTCAAGCTTGTGTGTCTCCGACTTGCAGGTTTCTGGAAGAATTGCGCACCAGCTGGAACTCCACAAAACCATCCCTCAGGGACGTGGCGGAAACCATTTGGTACCATCCGGTAAAGCCGCTGGTTTTTCACATCGCCGGTCGCCGGTGTTTGTTGCTTCACGCGCGCAGGAGGATCTCCCAGGGACACCTGGAAGGCCTTGCCGGCCTTGCCTGTCTGAAGCACCCACAGCTTGTGATGAAATCCTCCGATGCTTTTGGTGGCAGAAGGTTAATTTGTCATTGTCTTGGTGAAGTGCCTTGCAAGTCTGTAGATCTATAGGACGTACATTAATTGTTAGATCCTTCTTTGTTTGGGGGGTGGATGTTCTTGATTCAATGCGCATTCAAGGGGTCGGTTCCCTTTCAAAAAGAACATCACTTGTGCATGCACACACTGATAACAACTGTTGTTTCTCTAGAACCCTTTTATATAATTGTTTCAACTCTTAGATTGAGGATGCGAGACATGTTGTAGAAGTTAGAACACTCCTTGCTTCATGGTTGCCTTTGGAAGTTCCGATCACCTTCAACTGTTCCAGCGATATCTGAAAAACAGTGTTTCAAGGGTGAAAAAGACAAATGAGACTAATGTGCGGGATTTGTGTCACGGAATAACACGAATATATCAACATCAATTAAATGAAGTGGCGGACAACAAAACAATATGTTGCTCGGGCGTGAGATGTACAGACGGAAATGTATTAGTCTTGTGTACTGGTAGACTCTCCTGAAAGAGGACTGAAATGGGGTCATTTGATATGAGGAGTTTGCGATTCCGGGGTGTCCACAACAATAGCAAACCCTTGGTGAAGACATCGTATTTCCAGTGGGAAACAGCCTGCTTTGAGGGAACAGAAACCACAGCGGACCAAACTCAACACATCTCACAAGTCGTCTTGCCTCACCTACTTGGGGCCAACATCTTGAAGACCCCATATGTCCAGCGTTGAGCGTTGCTGCTTGCCACGGACAAGCCGGGCCGCTTGCGGCCGCAACGGAGGCGCACCAAGACGCCGGGGACGATGACCACCTTGCGGGAGGCGCGCTCCGCGAGCCGGGTGGAGCCGAAGGGAAGGGAAAGAAGGACAAGGTATTGGATTCGCAGGAAAAGGACTGAAGAGGTTTCAATATGGTTTAGATTGTTTATGATTGTTTATGATTGTTTGGTGTGGACCTCAATGTGGGGTACCGCATTTGGACTCGATAGCATCCGCCATTTGACAGTGTGGGAGAAGGATCGATGCACCATCGATCACATTCGGATTGCCAGGTGAAGATGATTGACATTTGAAGCACTACAAGAAGCAAGCTAATTGCACTACTAATTCCACTACAAGACAAGAAGCACTACAGGTGTTCGATGATCACATTCTCAGCCCATGTTTTGTATCACCTTTTTGGATCACTTCTTCGCCTGGATGACACTGGCCACTGTGTCCGGTCGGGTCGTCCTCGGTCCCCTGGGTCAGTCGGACGGTCGGGTCGTTCCGCCAGGAAGAGGCCTCCGAGGAACGACGTCCAGGCGCGACAGCGACGTCCGGCGTCCGTGACACGCGGGTGACGTGACGTGACGTCTGAGGGGTGGGTACACGCGAGCGGGTGAGCCACTCCCTGTTTGGTCATCGGAAGTGGAGTGAAGACCATGTGTTGGTCATGCTATGGTATTTGGTTATGTTGGGTCATTCTGAAGTCAACCACCTGACTGTTTGGTCTTTGGGGATTTGGGTCATGCGGCTCGGGGGGCGCTAATGCTGATAGCACGCCGAGATGAGGAGTCCAGGGAGTGTATGCCTTCCTCAGGTGGTGGCCACAGTAATTATGCCACAGTAATTGGGGTAATATGTATAATATATCATAGATGGAAGTGAGAGAACAATATATTCAAACATATTATCCGGTTTGTAGAAAAAGATCAGACAGCAAACGTCGTTCTTTTAAGGTTATTGTCCGTTTCCATGTTGGTTTTTGGGAATGTGCCAATTGTTGGGCGGGCACGCCCCCTTTGAAAGACCTGCTTGGCCTCACTCTCACTTTGGCCTCAGAGTATTTCCATAAAGACTGAGATCTATCCAGAAGCTTGAATGCCGTGGTCATGTTTGGTGTGTGTACGCGTGCATGTGTGGTTCACAGTGACATCAGATGGCCCTTTGCAGCTGTTTGTGATCCTTGAAGGGACAAGCACCACTTGCAGACTAGCAAGCAAATTCATGATTGTTCGTTTCATGATGGTTGTTGTGGTCACCCTATCTTGCAGCTAGCCGACAGCCTCAATTGTTACCAGAAGCTACTAGATTGGAGGCCATCGCTAGTAGGTTGGAGGCCATTACTACTAGTAAAGTAAAGACCAGCATTGTGCTAAGACCGTCGATCGAACTCTTTGCTTCATCGGTCGGAGGCTCAGCGGAAGTGAGCCAGGCGCCCGTTGGCGCACGACGAAGCGACCGGAACTCGGTGTGTGACCGGTGACCGGTGAACCGGTGCCCTGCCGATCCCATGAGTGGAAGTGCATTCTGACAGGAAAAGTGGTTGGTCCTGGATGCCGTTCGTGATTCTCTCAGTGGTAGGCGTTTCACATCCTACAAGTGCCAGGTGACCCCTTGCCGGTGCCAGGTGGCAACATACTGTTTCGTTTCATTACTACAGTCTCGTTTCAGAAATATTGCTCTACCCAGCTTGTTGTGTTAGTTAACGTTTTTTGCGCCTACTTGCTGGCTGATGCCACTTGTTTGCTGCTCCGTTTGTTTTTTGCTATCCTTTGTTGGTGTTTACTATACTTTGCTGTCACGTGACAAGGGATGTTGCGGGGTAAGTACACAGTGCTCCACAGTGCTCGGACAGTGCTCAAAACAGTGCGCGGAAGTCTAAAACATGGAAAATACCAGCGATTCGGGCAGTAGCAGTGCAAAACGATAGAACTTTAGAATTCTAGGTGTTCTATTGATTCATTTACCATTCCTGTGGCCATACCCACTGTATTTACAGGGTTTTGGTGCGCGGGCAGCACTGTTGGAGCACTGTCCGGGCACTGTGGAGCACAGTGTTGCCATGTAGTCCCCGGCCGCGTTGTGTGCGCAGGAGTCAAAGCCATGGTCGCTCCAGGTCATGATGGCGCTCTACTCTGACTGCTGTCCTCCGCCCCTTGTGTCCTTCTTTGCCTCTTGTTGCTGACGTTGCAACTCTTCTTCTATACGTGGCGCGGCCCTGTGTCACCGGCTTCACAGTTTTGTTTTTCCTGTGTCATTGGCTTCGATACTGTGTTGGGCCACTGCTGCTTGCTTCGCGTAACCCTGTGTCGGGTACAGTATGTCAAAAGCAAGCATCGAAACATACAGTGAACGTGCCTTGGAAGATATATAACCCCCTCTAACTGGATGGTCAAACATCTTCATATGAATATGGTTTCATTTTATTGCTGCGAATAGAATCAACAAATTGGTTCCCATGACCTGTAACAGTGGATAAAAAGACATAGTATCGCTATGTTTGAGCAAGGTCTTTACGAACCACCATCATCCACTGTTACAGGGAATGGGACATACCGTTCTTGTGACGTTCGATGAGCCCGATCGGAACTGGGCCGGAACTGGGGCTATTTCCTGAGACACCGGACCCAAGCCAACATGAACATGACACCATCCTACAGAACACAGGGTGCCTTCTCTTTTTCTGGAGTGGCAACCTTTCTCCGACATGCTTGCAAAAGGCTCATGACTGCCTGCAAATTGAGGGTGTATCCGACGTGTCTCCCAGTACCAATAAGGCCTGGTCCAAATGACCCTTTTTGAAAAATGTTTGCAAGCTAACCCTCATCCACTGTGCCCTGGTCACGGTAATCCGAACGCCCATAGAATCCTGGTCCAGAACTCACCTGTTGCGTGCTGCCATGGAGGCAGCCCTTCTCCGTCACCGCCAGGATCCCGTCGGGAGTCGCAGCTTCTTGCCATGGCGTGGAGGCGAGGAGGAGGTACAGCTGGTACAGGTCGTGGCGGGGAAGAAACTGTAGGCTCAAGTCAATGGTAGTCTATGATTCTAAAGGGGAACACATCACTTATCAATACTTATCAATCATGTCACCATGTCTCGTCATATCTTGGCCTACTTGTGTGTCTTTTTCAACAGGGGACCTCATTGCGAGCTACAGATGTTGAACATACAAGCATTTGCATGGCTGGTGGAGATGCTGGCGTCAAACCAGGTAGTGTCCAATGCTGTGTCCTTTTGTGTCCCTCAAATTCAGCGCGTCATGGGACATCATGGCACCCTGGGAGCCTATGTAGTTGGACCGCCCAAATTCAAACACTTGCAGATTGCCTATCAGGTTGTTCAAGCCAAACTGTTTTTCGAGTTCCTTTCTTGCGGATGTGCTTAGTTCGTCTCGCTTTTTTGGGGGACCATAAGAAGAGAACTGAGAGGGTTTGGTACCCCATTCTTTTCTACTCAAAGCCTACCTTTTGCATTCCCAGGGCCTCTTGTGGACTGATTCACGCCATGCCCGTTCACCAGGCACCACGCCAAGCACGCCCCGAGAACGCACAGAGCAGGATGAGGCGGAATAATAATTCGATGACAGCCGAAATCATACGGTGGATAGTAGTATCTGATTTGTAGACTCTTGATTCATCACCCCCCGACATTGAGATTGAGAAACCTGGGCAGCTTTATTGGTCCCGAGCACCTATTAAAACGCACACAAAAGCAAAAACACTACCAAATAAAAATAACCCACGTTGGAGACCACTAAATACAGTCCCTTTGTTTTTGACTGACTGCCTTCATATTGTGCTACTAAACTACCAAGGTCATGTCTGGGGGATTCTATGTTAATTTTTGTTTCTAATTAGGTACCCACCCACTAGAATCACCACCAATCATGCCCCTCACTAGCGACACGCCGCATTTATAAAACGCATGTGCACCCTTTTTCAATGGGACGGAGCCAGACAAACGCGCTTTCCATCGAGGCCTTGCATGGCCCGCATGGCACAACGATATCACCTTTTTAAATTTGTTGTTAGTCTGATGGAAATGTTTGTACTATTATCTTTTTAAAGGTTTTGTAAAGGCACAAGGAAGACACTTCGATCTGGAGGTTTTGCAATGTTTTTCTACGCGTGCAATATATAGAGGATTCTATCAGTTTTGAAGCTCGACACCCCAGGCTTCCATCTTTGCGGGTCCCTCTATTTTGGTGGACCCCGTAATTTAACGAACGACGCCAGAGTTTTCTATTTGGGGGTAGGGGCATTTGTTGTTTTTAATAGGTGGAAGGGATCAATCAAGAGTCTACTGCAACTTTGCTCTCGATTCATGCATGAGAAAATCACAATATCTTGCTTGGACTTTCTGGGCTCTTGCATAGAGGCACTCTGACCGGTTGAAACACTTGAACAAAGACTGGACGGCCTCCCAAGCATGAGGTTTTCCATCACTCAGTCGTCGCTCATGTTCGGCGAAAGAGTGGTGGACCGAAACAGAGGGTCCTATGACTCATGCCTGATGAGGCTCAGGTGCCGCGAAGAAGCCTGTGAAAGAGAAGGATGATCATGGTTTTATCAAGGATCCTGTATTTCAGGGTCCAGGTATAGGGTTCTTCACCATATCATGGTTGACAAATCTGTTCGCAGATCCCGTTTGCGGTCGCTGGATCCACTGCCATGGCTTTTGGGCGTAGGGAAGACCCGGCGACACAGCGAACATCTCGCGCCGACTCCGTGAGGCACCGCGGATCGCCGAAGGCTCCCGGGGGGTTGGGGAAGTCGGAAAGACCATGATGGGCGGCCCAGACTGGCTGCTAGATACAGGAGTCTACTAAATGATTGACCTGATGGAAAAAGGGCTGTGGGACGGACTATGTCTCCGTGTGGAGAGACATGAACAGAATCGAATTGTCATAAGAGAAGCCAGAGAAGCTATTTGTTTGTTTACACAGTTCTTGGATGCCGTTGCGCAAGAAACACCCTGGTCATTGAATGACAAGGACAAGGCTGTCATTTGTGCTAAGTGTGCATGGCGTCAATCTCACTAATTAACAAAAGGACTTCATCGTCCACAAGTGACCTTGAGGATTAAGGATTTCTCAGGATCGAGAGGGTGCGTTCAGTAAGGACTTACCCACAGGGATTTCAATTGTGTTGCATATGGCATACGTACTTATAAATGTTCTGGGGGTCGGGATTTGTCCTGCAATCCAGCCATGTTGGGCCCTGGGGTGTGATGTTGCCTTTGTTCCCTTTGGTGCAATTACATGGACATTTGCTGTGTATGTCATTTGACTAAGCATTGGATTGACAAGGATATTACGTGGGCTTTAACCCTGAAAGAACACATCTGTGTTATCTCAGGCTTCACGACTTTCTGCCAGTGCCTGCTCATTTCACGGGTTGTGGTTTCGTCCAGACTCTTCCTACTAGCCTTTGGGAAACATTGTTCACTCTCTTCATCATCCCATTGCTGGTGGGTTCACCAAAGATCTCGTCTTCCAGATTCTCCCAACTGTCTTGCTCCTTTGCCGTTTGTGCAGGCGGCCGTGGAAAAGATAAGGACCCATCGGCAGACTTCGGCAGATGAGATCGGCAGGTCTTGAGTTTTTGAGACTTAGCAACACATCTACCTGGACCATCCAAGGTGTGTCCAATTGAGATCCATAAGTATAGTGTAGAGTACGGCCTGAAAGTACCCTGGATGGTCCTGCTTTGCAGAGTCAACCGCAGGCCTTGGTGCCTCTTATAGAATTTGGTGCTCAGTTGGTCCTCCACCAGGGACATAGGTGTTCATACATGTCGGATGCTGCCAGGGTGGCCAGGGTGATCATCTCTTAGGGAGTGGTTTCCATGCAAAACACTTAAGCAAGCTTTAGAGTGGCCAATGTCCTACCATTGCAGGTCACTTGTTTCCTATTCTTGTTCAGAGAGCTGAGGCGTCCCCCGTGGTCCCCCCCGATGCCTTCTGGCCATCGCCTGTGCGGGCCGTGCGGCGTGCGGGCGGGTTCGCCGGTGGACAGGACAGCATTTTGCCCACCTTCTTCAGGCGTTCCAGTCGAGAGAGGTGCGAGCTGAACGGAACCCGGATCAGGGACCCCTTAGGGCCAGACTGGCATATGTTGCATGAGTTGATACCGTGCGAGGTGGTTGAGGAAGGGTCAAGGTAGGCATATGTTCCAGTCTTATGGAGCCTTTTGGGTCATCTCCACAATGTCACTTAGATTAATCGCCTACCAGTGGCTAGTAGCGATGGCCTCCAACATAGTGGCAAAGATCCCATGTACCATGTTGTTTCTTTAACCCGGTTTACGAGAACTGATTCATGCCAATCAACCCGCATACGTCGCACCGATGATCGAGGAGGAGTGCCTCATGTGTGAAAAGAAACTGCTACTGAAGCGGATCATATCCCCCCCAACCAAAGAATTTCCTTGTCAACAAATGAACTTCATCCCAATTCCCATGGTCACGACCTGGTTGTCTTTGACCTCATGACTCGGTGCGAACCACCTGTGGCTCGGTGCGAGTTGGGGGGTTCTCCAATAAAGCTACTGACTGGGGAAGGAGTCAGGAGTTGGTGTTTTGTTGCAGAAGCATTAGGATTGGAGACAGGGAGCCCTGAGTTCGGAGCTACAAGGAGTTTGCCAAGCACTTGCCAGATAGGACCCCCCGCCGTTTTGATGGACTCACGACTTCACAGGTCATCAAATGAGACCTGTTAGGGCCTAACAACCCTCTAAAGGAACCTGTTGGAGAAAGCTTTCTGAATCAGTTTGTGTTGTCAGACTTGCTGCGAACGAAGGTCAAGAGTGCCGCGGCATGCTGGAGTGTCTCTGGCATGGTTGACATGAGCAACCGCTCCAAAATGGGGAGAAGACTGCAACCTTATGAGGTTGCAGCTGGATCTTCTGTTTACATTGGTGGATTTTGCATAGCCAACTCCCCCTCCGAGAAAAATGGCGAGAGAAGTTAAGAAGGTGCAACTTTGAGGTATACACCCTGGACCCCTTTGCAAGAAAGACGTGTGTCTCTTTGTAACAGCTATAGCTTCTATTTTCACAGTTCCTTTACGATAGAGTTGAAATGAGGACATTGTTTGACTCACCCATCAGCTGGTGCGGCCGGTCCTCAACATGTGACTATACAGCAGCTCTTGAACTTTCCCAGGAAAAGAAGACCGGACATGATATGGAGCTGGACATGATATACTCTATCACCAATATCTTTGCTGTTCACTTTGCTTGGCTTTTTGCTCACCCAGATTGGCTGGTGTTTTCGAATCCTCGTCCTTCCTCCGCCAGGATTCGCCTCCCACGGACTGTGCCGCCACATCGCCCAGCGAGGCCCGGGCGGTCCGGTGCGCTCCGAACGACGGCCTCCGGTGTCACCGTTCGAAGCCCATAGTGTTTGTGTGTGTGTTGTGTTTTTGTGTTATGTGATTGGCTTTTTTAGGGATGTCATGTGGTGAAATCCCAACTCCTGCCCCTGTAAGTAGATGAGAATTCGATTCAGACTAAGCTGTTGAATCCTAAGGTTGATTGTATAAATATCGCTTTTCATTCTTGTGGATGGATCACTGGTGGGGCGGGTTTATGAGATCTCCGCATTCTTCAGAAGATCACTCCTTCGCAGCTGAGTCTTACCTCCAGAATGCTCCAGCTCCCGTGATTTCACGGAGAAAAGACTTCCACCGGTCAGGTGGAAATTTGGGTCCCAACCTATCAAGCGAAGGCTGAAACTGGCTAAAAACCCCTGGACTATCTATTGGCTTTTGGATAAACCTCCCACCACTTCTCAATTGGTCACGGATGTTGCCACAAGATCCCGCGGCTTCGGTCGCAACGGCTTTCGTCTTCGCCAGGGCCAAGGCACTGAGGCATGTCCCAGTCCCTCAGAAGATGCCAGCTCCAAGGTGCGGGATGGCGACCGGAAGACCGAACGGAAGCGTGGCGCGAAGCGAGCTGTGCCTGGTTCACTTCATGGGCCTACCTGGGAGGTCTGAGGCCAACGTTTTTGGATTTGAACCATGAAGAGCACAAAATTCGGTGAACTGGTTTCCTTCGGGCGAGCGAAAGCGGTGACTGGGCATGGCTGACGTTGCAGGACTTCTCGAAAGAGGTTCACCTACTGTGCCAAACATGTTCCTGATTAGAAGAGTGGAGCCCCTCCTTTTTGCTTGTGAAGCGCAGGCTGCTTCAGCCAGCTCCAGCTTGCCTTTCTTCTTCCGCCGGGACCTGAAGGGCGCCAGCTCGGTTGATGATTTGTGTCTTCGGGGGTGCGGGAAGATCTCCAGGGAAAAGTATATGTGTGATATGGATGGTGGTTTGTAATTAAAGTTGTTTGTTCCATCCCATTTGGTCGGGAGGCGTACATATCCCAACTGACCAATACTTTTGTTTGGGGGTGGCTTGAATCACAAAGCATGCTGTGAATATCCAAGACATGCGCTTTGAGCAACCTTTTTTTTAAATGAATTAAAATGATTATATATATATACAAACTTTCTCACTTTTGAATGCTTATTTTGAAGAACATGCAGAATTCTGAGTGTTGAACATAGAAACAATACAGCACTACAGCGACTATAGTAAATAGGGCTGATGATGCAACTGCTGCGTCCTGGTGTGGTAAATCAACATAAAGCATCATACATCAACTGATATTTCAAGACCTAAATCCTATTGGATCCTATTGGTTACCGGTGAACCCTATCAGTTACTGATTTTAAAGACATCCGTTCCTTGGTCGGCACAAAGCTCGACGTCTGGGCCGGGCGTACATCGTCTCGGGATTTCAAGAAACGACAAGAACTACTAGGATGACAATGTCTACCAGGCACACCAGGTCAATTAAACATAGAACCAGATAGAACCAGCCTGTTTGTACAGGAAGCAAGTTTCTTTGAGTGCTCAATTTCACCGGTCTAATTTGCGTACCTCGAATTGACGACAACGCTGCTTATTTCTGCTTGTTCTGCTCTTTGCCACCTCGCTGCTGAGGTGCCCCCTGGTCGGCGAAACGAGAGACCTCGCCCGAGCCCTTAGCGGGATGCCGCCCAAGCGGGCGGCTGAAATTGAGTTCGGCCGCTTCCGTGCAACGGCCATGCCTTCTTAGAGATTGGCAATGGGTTTTGTGCATGTTTTGCCTCACTCAAAGAAGACAGGAGGTTCCTTGCAGGTGAAATGCCTGCAATGGTGGTAAGTATGAGTTCACTTGTGAGAAGTGTGACGCGATTCCGTTGATGCAGAATTCAATGCGATCCTCATGACGTTCGGTTTTACTCCATGTCTTATGTCAAGTAGATTCACTTAATTAAAGTGGTGGTCATGAGCAACTCATGCTACTTTCATTCCTTTTGGTTCACCCCTTCATACCCGATACCACGGTGGAAAGTTCGGGGTGCATGGGAAGCGCACAGACACATCCCACTTGCGCAAGTCGTGGGACATTTGGTTTGGGGTTGTTGGTGTTTTTTGTTTTTTGGGATACATATTGCCGAAGGCAGTGCCTGTGACTGTTCGCATGCATATTGAAAGAGAGGATACATATTGGTGAGAGGGCGGTTCTTTGCGCGTCTTGACCTTTTCTCATTTTGTCTCTTTGTTTGTTCTGTTCATGAGACTGCTCAACAACTACTGCTCATATGAAAATGAAAGGTCCGTGAAGGACCTATAAGGACCTTGAATCTGGCAATAACTCTGCAAAACAACGATAAACAACAATTTTGGGTCCAGAGGCGACCTGTTGCTGGCCCACGTCCCTCAGCGCCCCAGAATTGTAAGGTGATGCAAGTAGGGGGCCAAGTTTGAGAATGGAACCACCAGGAGTCCCACGTGGAGAATGTAGACCCATCCGATTGGAGAATGGACATCCCACCCTCCAACCGCCCAGAACTTGCCAAGATGACTTGTTAATTTCTTATTGCACTTTAATGTTTTTGTTGATATTGGAGACCCTTCACCACGGGGCAGACAGATGGGCACAGTGTCTGCCAGCGAGCTCCGCAGGTTGAGCTCTCCAGGCAACAAAGAAGAAGGCCAGTTCCGCCGCGCGAGGAGCGATCAGCCTGGAGTTTGGGGGCAAAGCGCAGGATTTGCCGTTGGGCGAAGGTCGTGAGATTTCGTGACTCTGTTCGGAATGTGAGCTATATTGATGTCTCCCTTCCGTCAATTTTATACTAATTACTCGGACTATGAACACAAACAAAAGCCTCGGAGCTGTGTGCAGACCTGGTCCGATGATGAATGGTGGTCGATATGTGGTGAACGCGAGTTTCTGGTGGACATTCCGATCTAAATTGTCCACAATCTTAAGGAGAATGAACCATTGAGGACCCAAGTTGGCCACAGTTGTTGGAAAACACATCGTTTAAGAAGCACCACAGGTGCAAGAATACTGATACTTTCACTAGCAGGCCTTCGTTTTTTCTGGCTGGACATCGTTACAAACTGGGAAGCAAACTGTCAACATCTCAGTTTGTGTTGCTTCAGATGGCAGGCGACCACCAAGATACAAAGAACACCATCCCCTTCCCTTCAAAAAGCTGGCTTTGAGTAGGTGTTTGGAATACTTTGGAATCCATGGGGAACAAAAAAGCTCCAATCTGGAATCCACATTGATGATCCCCTTCCTTTGAACAAAACAATCAACTTGTCTAGGCCAGAGGATGAACTGGAGCGGGGGGGGGTTGGTCTGAAGCTCTGAATATGTCTGAACACGGAGACGGAATGGCAGTTGGACATGTTTCAAAGTTTGGTGGTGGAAAGCACAGGACATATATCATATGTCATTTTGTTCCAGGGAACTGTCCTTTTTGAGGGAACTGTCTGTCTACCCAAACCTTGTCTACCTGTCCAAAGAAAGTGATCCAGAACCATCCTCTGTCACCGCCCCTCTCCTCGGTCTCCGAAGCGGTCCTTCGGTTGGTCAGGTGACTTGGCGACTTTAGCACTGCCGGGCACAACCGATGGCCAGGCCGGGGAGGCACTGGAAAGGCCACGCCGGAACAGATGAAAAGAGGGGCTTTCAGGAGGTGACGAGGTGAGGATTTGAGACTTTGGACAGATACTACATATATATATATATATATCTATAGCCGAGCTTAAAATCTGATGAACTCGGAAGGAAGGATCGACCCTTTAGATACTCTGAAGCCAATTGAATCAACACTCAGGATGCACAAGTTGCTTGCATTTAGGGCCATATAGTGCCATACAAGATTGACAGTGTTGTACAGCTACACTTGCTAATCCAACGATATGTTTATTCATGTCAATTCCCTTTCAATATGTTCATTATTGAATTGGCAGTTCTGTTTTGTTACTAAGACCGCCAACCCAAGAAGGAGTGCGCTTGGCCCATTCCAACCTTGAGTGATATACTATATATATACATATATTTCAAAGAAAGGATGGTTCTTTTCAGTGCACAGAGCAGATCAAAGTAGGATCATCCCGTTCACAGTTGTCCCATTGTCCATAAAGTAGGTTGGAGGCCATCGCTATTAGGTTGAAGGCCATCGCTTATTGGTTGGAGGCCATCGCTGATTGATTGGAGGCCATCGCT